AAAATAATTTTATGGTTGGGGGTCACCACAACATGAGGAACTGTATTAAGGGGTCACGGCATTAGGAAGGTTGAGAACCGCTGGTCTAGTGCATAGTAGGTCTTCAATATTTATTTGCAAGATAATGTTGGATGAGGCCTCGGGATGATGGACCAGAGGTTTCCTGGGGTGTTGCCTGCTCTGTCTCACCTGGGAGGGGGGCGTGCCCCACTGGACTTGACTGTGACCACCTGCTCAATGCTGGCTGTTAGCTGGAGGTACTGGGTATTTGCATAGGGTCCCACCCCTGACCCGCTTCACCCTATCAGACTGACTTCTGGTGTGCACACACGTCTTGAATTTTTACTCTGGGATGTAATGAAAAAATTCACCTCCAAAGGCTTCTTGGCTAACATCCTCTGCTTTCCACTCAGCCCACCCCTAACCTCTCGTAAGGAGGCCTCATAATGTCTTGTCCTTGTCTGCGCCCTTTAGGCCCCCACCCATCCTTCTCCAAGCACAGGAAGATGTTTCAGGGCCTTGGAGGCCCTGCCCTGGACACATCACCGCCTCCTCCCACCAGGCATCTCCTTTGCAGGGAAAGGCAGCCGCCTTGCTTCTTCCTGCACAAGCAGTGGCATCTCGGGCAGCAGAGTAGCACCCCCACCCCACACCCTCCCACAACCCACATCCCCTGCCCCAGCCCCCACAGAGTGTCCTGCCCTTGCTTGAGGTCTCTCCTGGCCTCTGCCCAACTCTTGCAGTTATTTCCTTGTGGCTCATCCATGTAGGGCATCCAGGATGTTTAAACCTGAGCGTTAAAAAAAAGTATTAATTGCAAAACATTGAAAAACAATGTCAGCTTACATTTGTGGAGCCCTTAATGTGCCCCAGGCACTGTTAAAACCACACACTTCCCAGATCTTGTCCAATCCTCACCAGGCCCCTTGAGGCAGGCACATCTGTCATACCCATTTTTCAGATGAGGAAGTTGAGACTCAGGTTTGGGGCCAGGCCTCACATCTGGCCAGGGGCCTGAATTGTCTTCTGGGGCAGAAAGGAGCCAGTGTGAGGTGGTACGGGAAGAGGATGGCACAGTTGGGGGTGGGAGGAGGGGGATTTGGTGGGTTCAGCCTAAGACCCTCCCTGCCAGTCCTGTTAGTAAGAACGTGGATGGTGAGTTTGTTGGGAAAATAAAACAAACCCACAGTTTTCTCTTGAACACTATTGGCTAGAGATTACCCCTCCCAGAAAAATCACGATTTTCTTCCCTGGGGGCTTGGAAAATAGTTATCAGCCTGTCAGTGATAAATTTGGAAGGTCTGAGCCAGCTTGGATGGTTTCCCCCCACCCCCCACCCCACTGATGCTACAGTGCAAATCCTGCCCTCCACCCCCACCCCTTGGTCTGGAAAGGGTGTCAGGAAGTATCTGGCCTCAAACTTTGGTTGCTATGACAACCTTTCTTCTGGGTTCTGTGACCATTTTTAAAATTATTTTTTACTTGAAGAGGAAAACAAAAACAAAAACGCCCCAACAAACCCTGAAAAAAAAATCCTGCCCTCACCGTCCCCCGCCCCTGAGAACGTGGAAGACCCCATTTCTTTCCCTCCTGCCCATGGACTATAAGGAATTTCACATTCACGGAATGAAAACACCAACCACGAAACCCTAACCTCTCTGTGAGAAGCAGCTGCTTAATGTTCCTTCCTCTTAATGGTAATTTCTGTGCTCAGAAAAACCTCTTCCCACTCTGGGCAGCCACAGGAAAATCTAATAAGCCCGTCCCTCCTGCCCCCCCCCCAACACACACACTAAAAACCTACAGCGTTTACAAAGAAAGCTGCAGCCTGTCCTAAACGGACCCAATTTCCCCAGACCCAGCATAAAGGAACCTTTCTTTTCTCCTTCCCCCAAGAAGAGGCATCAACCTCCTTCAGCAAACAGAAAGGAGGGGGAAGTGTGGCTTCCACACAGAAGTACTCTGAGCCCTTCACGCAAATTGGATTTCTCTCTGGTTTGAATGCTCCAGAAGAGGTGGGTGGGTGGGTGG